AATGAAATTAACAATTAAAATATAAACAGTGTCATTTAGATATCATAACAATTCTTACAAACTGTATAATAATACATGGCGTTTTCTTATACCACTTTTATAACTCGCGTGATCAGTTTTGATTTGTATTGTATGGCTTAAAGTATAAAATATAAAGTGATACAAAAATAAATTGCTGAAAATTATTGTGGGTGACCAAATTGCAGCGTTGTATAAGCAACCATTAATGCATGCTCTGCATCCTAAAAATCCCAGTACCTATTACTTGTAAAAATCATGAATAAATTGTAACGAGTTAATTATTGCACGTGTATTGAGAAAGAATTGTATACATAACACCAACAAATTATGAAAATGGCCAACCAACATTAAGGCTAAACATTTTTTGACCAATGTAGACACTAGAATAGGTACTAGATTTTATCCAGTATAATATGATGAATATTGAATGGCATAAAAATATTTTAGCACAGCGGTTCTCAAACTGTGTTCAGCGAAGCCCTAAGGCTCCACTAAAGTAGTCTAAGGGCTTTGTGGCTCCCTGGGCATATCTGTATTAATTTATAAATTACTAAAATAATATGTTCTTTTTTCCTATTAAATGAATTGAATAAATTGTATTTGTGAAATTAATCATTTGACATCAGTTTTTATAAATTATTGTTGTCTCAAATAGACATTTCTGATTTCTGGGGCTCCATAACTTTTTTTAGGAACATAAAAGMTCCGCGAACAAAACAGTTTGAGAACCGCTGTCTTAGCAGTTTAGTCAAAATTTACATTTACTAAGGTAAGTATCTTAARATCTTTTAAAGGTTGTTTGCTTTTTTTTCGAATTGAAAAAGTCACTGAGAATATCCAAATTTATTCAACTTTTTATTCAAAATAGATATTAGTAGGCATCAAAAAGTTGGTTACCTACGATAATTTATAAATTGTAATACATTTTATTCATAATAAATTCAATAATGAATCCATTATTCAGTCAATAAATTAGTCTGTATCTATAAAAATAGGTACACTAAAAATTATACCTACATAAAAAAAAAATATAATTTTATCTTTATTAAATTACTTTAAAAATAAACATTAATGGAGACCTTTATAGAGAATAATGTAAAAATTGGCTCAGATAATTCACTTCGCATTTTTAACTTGACTAATTCTTGGGACTTAAGCACTTATACAGGTGGCTTATAAAATGAAGGATCCTTACTTCAGCACTGGGGCCAATCAGTTTTGTTGAAAAATAAAAATTCAAAATCCTAATCATACCTAAGTATATGCATCCTCTTTTACTTCAAAAGGGTTTTTAACAATTAAATATCATGTCCCCTTCTCAGCCTTCTTCAACARACTTTATAGTTCTTGCCATGCTGTGCCCACTGCCCAAATGCCCAAGTATATATTATAAAAAATTTATGTCAATATAAAATTTGTTACCCCTCTAACGCAACGGGATCCGATTGAGGTGTTGTTTACCTTATTGGATACAATTCGTGAGAACGTCTGCCGGTTCTGACGCTGGGGCGACTGAAATTCCAAATCAATTTGTAAGTTGTTTGCGGAGTTCATATTTTTGTTGCTGCTGTAGTTGTTGTTGTTGTTGTTATTGTTGAACACGAGCTGCTGTACGTTGTACTCATCGTCCTCCTCGATGCGATCGTGGGCTGGTTGCTGCGGCGTCACTGGTGGCGGCGGTGGCAGCGGTGGATATTGATGGACTGGCGACCATGCAATGGGCGGATAACCAAAGTGGGGTGGCATCGGAAAGATCGGTTGCCCTGAAGGCATTGGAAATGCGTTCGTCGGGGGCGGCGGTGGAGGCGGCTGTGACATTGGCGGCTGTGTCAGTGGCGGCTGTGACATCGGTGGCTGTGGCATTGGCGGCTTTGACATCGGTGGCTGTGGCATTGGCGGCTGTGACATCGGCGGCTGTGGCATTG